ATCTACTTTTCCCTCACTACCCAGATACTAAAAACAAAATGCATCCAGCTGCAAACCTTAAAAAGGGGTCCAAATCCCTTTAGATCCTCTCTTCCATCCAAGTAATACACTAATATCCTGAATTATTTAAATCTTAACTCTGAGGCAAACATATTAAAGAATAATAAATAATAAAATAATAATTTAAAAAATCACATTTAAAGCATTTATTTTGAAAAATAAAATACAAAAGATCATTGAATTTATCAACTTTTGTTTTAAATAAAAGATATTTAACAATTTCCACATGTGAGTAAAACAACCGTTCCACCAAAAAATCTTCTAGGACAAGCACAGATGACTCTTTTGAAAGCTTCATACATTTAAAACCAAACCGCTATAGAAAAAAAAAAAATCTTTGAAGATGAATTTTGTAATTGAGACAGAATAGCAATTTTGGAGACAGGCATTGCTCTGCATTTTTTAAAACCTTGAGAAAATAGTTGTGCGAATGTAATACAGTTCTACATTAACATCAGTTGTTGTGTTTGTTTGGTTTTGGTTTCTTTCAACAGGTTTACATGCGCTCACAACAGCAAAATTTTGAACAAAAACAGTATGAAAGAAATGGGGAAGGAAATTCTGAGAAAAGCCAGCCACGAGCAGTACAGTCACTGATCGCAGTGGGACAGTCCTTGAAAGATCATTTCCATGGAAAAGGCAGCAGTCGTTTTTTTCCTACAGAAAAAGAAAGCTGTGTTTGAGATCCCAGTGTAATATTCTGACAACATTTTGTAATTACGAATAATGCATAATTAAAGTAATCGCTTATCCATATCTTCAAATTTTTCTTACTCAGAATTTTACAAGTTTAAAAAAAATTCATCTCAACTAAATCAAGAGCAAACGAGCGGGACTGAATGCTCTTTTATTACCTTCTGTGCGTGAAATATCCATTGTATCTTCTAGTCCATAGGTTCAGTCTGTCAAGTAAATAATTAAAATTAAATTAGCTATTTTACATTGCATTATCAGCACCAATTTTCTACTCAGAACTCTCTAGCTATGTGGTTACATTATGTTCATTTTACCATTACTAAAGGAGAACACTATCAGCATCAGTTTCAGCTCCAGTTTTTATTGCCTATGCAATATTCCCTTACTTTTTCACAAAGCTTATTTTTGCTTTCTAGATGATCTTTCTTTACTTTGCATAAGTCTGCTCTGAGTGCAATCATACTGAGCTACCTGTATAAATCCACCTGCTGAAATTTAGCAAAGTCCCATTTTGAAACCTCCCTACCACACGGAACAAAAGAGACCAAGTTCTTCTGATACATCACAAGCCAATTGGAAAATACAAAGAGCGTAATTTAACTAACAGATCCTGCAGGCAGCTCAAGGACCATTTATTCTGGCAGCATGCTATCTATGCACGGGCTGCTAAACTTGAAAGACAGGCTCATCCCTCCGCCTCTTCCCAAAAGCCGTATCAGCAATATTCACTCTCCTGTTCTGACACACCGTGCTTGCAGCCATATGCGCCGCGACGTTACCTGCAAGGTTGTCGATAATCTTGAAATAACCCCAATAACTGCCTGAGAAATAACCAGAGCACACTTTCTCAATACAATTTGCCGACGATAACTTTTAAGCAGCGCACGTTTAAGGAGCTGTCTTGCCGTGAAGCTGCACGGACGTTTTGGCCAGCAGTTGCGAGGGAACAATGCTGTGAGCGACAGCGCATTTAGCTGCGTGGTGCCGGGCTCTGAATGGTTTTCTGTGAGCTGAGCACAACTTGCAAAGCACGAGCACTAACTGTGTTCCAAGGGTGAGAGCAGGCAAACATCCAGTAAAAGAGCGAAGCCCACATTCGAGATCACACAAAGATTTCTCAGACAGATTTGGTGTTCACAGCAAAAAGTTATGTTCTGAAAACATGAAACAGACACTACAGCTATTCGACTTTACTGATCCATGTTCATTTTATCTTGCCACGAGACTTCCTTTCTATTGTCTTCTTTAGCTGGAACAAAAGAAACCAATTTTCCCTTTTAATCAATTAATTTTCATTTGAGTGCACGGAATAAGTCAAAATGCGTTGTTTGCATGTGGTAGATTCTCTTGCGTATTCTTCAATCTCTACGTGTAACAAAAGTCATAGTCTTTCCTAATACTGGTGATCTGAAGTCAAGAAAGCTTGTGCCCATTAGTGTTTTTTTTTTATTTTAAAAGTAAAGACATGGCAAAATATTTTACTTTTAATAGGCTACTTACACTTATATTCTAAGTAAACTTACATACTGTATGTATCATTAAGGATGGGAAATCAACTAGAAATATAAAAGTAACGCAAGCAGAGATACACAATTCCGGAGACAGAGCACCCCTAAAAATGCTTTCCCTCCTAATTCTGGTTGCGTACTAGCTGGCCGCTACACCTGCAGAGAGGAAACTAATCCAATACTGTACCTGTGGCACTTCCTTAAGAAAGTCAGGAAGCTGAAATTCACCTTTATAGACCTGGAAAAACAAAAAGCAACGTAACAGTCAAAGCCAGCGTTCACTGCTGTGTGACCTGCTACAGGGCTTGTTAAGGGGGGGGAGATTCTGTTGGGTTATCACCAGCCAGGAAAGCAGATCTACCTGAACTGAGCACAGGCTGTTTGTAAAAGCGAGTTTTATTCACAAGACTTGGTTATCTGAGGTAGTTCTAGAGCTGTGTGCTCAGGCCCAGGCTTGCTCTGTGCTCAACACTGACCTTGTTTGCATTAAAATGTTAAAACTGTGTAACTCGTGCTCAAGTTTGCTCAAACTATTCAATCCTGTGTAATACACTCACTATGCTTTTAGGAAAAGATTTAACAGGATGATTAAATATGCTATAAGTGACTCGCTACAACACATACTTTTTGAAGTTTATATGTAACAAAATTGTTGTTTCACATTTTAGCACCTTAAACAAATTAAGTTCCTTTTGGGTTTAATTATAATTCAAAGATTCTGCATTGAAAGATTTTCAATAGAGCTGTCACAATCTTACAGTGTCAGAACTGCTACACCAGCCAGGGAACAAGCAACATTTATTTCTCAAACATTCATATTTTAGTTAAGAAACTCAATGAATGTCACGTAATACATTTTCTCACATGTCACATTACTCATTGTGTACAAAATATCCATCATTCACACAAACAGAAGTATTGCACTTGAATTAATCCCATCTTACTACGCATTTCTACAGATTCTATTTCTGTAACGCGTATTTCTGTAACAACTACAGCCTCATTACCAACCTTCATGAGAATTTGCCTTTATCACAATTTCCAACCTTTTAGAGCATAACATTAATTCTGAAACAACACTGGTTTGGCAAAAGAGCAGGCACTAAATACCCTCAAACATCCCAACAGCCGCACTAAACAAAGTGTTTCCACTATCTGACAAATGAGGAAATAAATTGGCGATATATTGTCTTCTCTCTAGAGGATACATCTTAAAAGGTGTTTGCGTCTGAGATTAAACCGGAATTCATTCCAAAGAAGGAGGGGAGGGGAAGGTATTCTGGATTATTACATGTTTTGGTGTTTTCTTTTTGCAAAAAAGAAATATACTTGAGGAGTTTTACCATCCTCTCTATTCTACTGAATCAAAAAGACCAAACACCCTTACAGAATCCTTGTGTAGCTGTAACCGTATAAAAACCAAAAGCCACAAACCGACTCTAGAAAAATTCTATTAAGCCATAAAACAGAAATGGGGCTGCTCTGAAGCCTTGCTCAGAGTTGCACACTCTGGTTTGCAAATTGCACCAAAGGAAGAAGACTGAGGAAGCCAATGGATGCTTATTAACAACATCCATTTTCTCCGCTTTCCCGTGAACAGATGACCAGAATACAAAGACATACTCATTTTGTCAATATTCTGTCGCGGCCAAGTGGGCACAGAATTTCCCTCGTCCCACGCCCGCGGTGTTAAACCATCCCACCCCCGGGGAGCGGCTTGGGAGCTGGCAGGTCTCCTCGCTCTTCATGACCGGGCTAAACACATCCAAACAACAGGGCTTCGCTAAATCTCGACATGAGAGTAGGAATAACGTAGGCAGACATTTCGGAACTCTGCCCCTTCCGACAGTCCGTGTTTTAGATAAAATATTCAAACTGATAGGCACAGCTCTCATTTATATTCAGCCAGGGGGTACCATCATTCCCATGGAAACCTAATGAAAGCCACACTGGTCAGAAATTCAGCATGTGGCTTACTGGAGCCTAGATATACTATAAATATTTATAAATGAAGGAGAGCGTTTCTTATTCTCAGCTTTTAACCAAGCCGTTACGATGCAGGCTGTGTTTTAGAGCAGAAATGGAAGTTACAAATCAACACCATTATCACTTCAAAAAATGCTAGAGAACAACCTAGGCAAGGTTCACAAAAAAAAGCAGTTATCTTTTATCAGACTACTGCTGAAGCTGGAAGAAAGACTTCTTCACCTCGTCGGGCAAACCACTACAGTCAGTATCTGGTGAATTCTTAAAAACAGTTAATACTGATTATGATGTTACGTTGTAATTAATTCAGAACCAGAGTGACCAAAACCATGTTTGTCTCTCTGGAAGCCTTCTTCTTCTTCTCCTGTAAATCTGACTTGGTCTAATTTTCACGTTATATATCTATATATCTGTCTGCTCTACAACCTTTACCACTGTAATGCCCTTTGCAGTAACAGTACTTACACCTAGTAGGCAGCTAAGAGTGGACAGTCAAGAGTATTCATCCATCAGCAAGAATAAGAAAAATAATGACACTAATGTCATAGTCTGGAAAGATAAGGAAACATTTCGGGGCATTTGATAATATATTCGTATAAGCTATCACAATTTACACACATACGATTTACAAAGACAAATATAACCAACAACAGGCCCAAGAAGATGAGGTTTAACACACAAGCATTCCTAATTTTTGTTCAGAACTGACATTCTGTAGAATGCCGGTTTGGTCAAGATCGAGACTGAATGGAAACAGGTTTAAAGTAGTTCCCAAACCAGTAAACGGTCCCTTTTGAATCAAAACCCAGGGATAAACTGCAATCCAGAAATTCTAGAAACAATTACTCCATCTGCAGCCAAAGAAATTAAGAGGTTTCAGATTCAAAATTCTTCACTGGCCAATTTCTAAGTCTAAAGCACATTATTCAGAGTGGCAGCAGAGAGGCAGAAGCAGGACATTGGAATGATTTCCAGTCTAAGCAAGAATTCAGTAAAACTGAGCAGAATTGGCATTTACCATTTCTAAGGGAATTATTTTGCAAGTCTAAATGAATTTCTAAAAGGAGGAGGGCTGGGGAAATCCAAAGTCTCTGTCAGTTTGTTGTTTAGTGTTGGCAGTATTCAAGCTGTTCTATTAAAATAAAAAGCAAAGCACATTCTTATAGCCAAACTAAATGCGTATTATTCTCAAAAAGAGATCAGAAAACAAGTTTCATAGCCATTTTTCTGAGAAAACCCTTACAAATTCACAAGAAAAACTTGAGAACAGAAGCATAACTCAGAAGCGTAGCCTATAATTCATCTTTATAAAAGATTAAAGCACTCCTTTTCACCCACTCCCAAGCTTGGTTTAGAAAGAGTCACATTATATTTGGTCAGTTCCAGTACGCAGATATAATAGGTCCTTTTGTCTAAAAGTTAGCCTGCAACCAAGTGTACCTGGGCTTGGTAGGTTTTGAAAACATCAAAGTTGCAGAGTGCAAGGCTATTGATATTTAATTGTAAAAAAAAAACAAACCCCAACAACAAAACTCCCCAAAAAACTAAACAAAATAAAACAAACAAAAACACAACAACAAACCCAACCAAACAAAAAATAACACCCCAAAAGCCTCCCAGAACCAAGGAACACTGAAACAGAACAAGCCCCTTTCTAGAAACAATCCTTTCCTGCCCGGTACACGGAGGGATCCTCGTCTGGCTCCTTCAGACTTCCCTTAAGTCTTACGGCAGCTCACCAGGCTGACACCATTCCTCACCTTTTGCTGCAAGCGCCAAGGAAGGGGACATCCGAGACGTAAATGTTTACCCAGTAGAAACAACAATCATGGAGAGCATGATTTTAGACGGGGCTATGAACATCTGCCAAAAGGCAGCTTGCGACCATACCCCATTTTGTTTCCTGAATAACTCTGTACCTTACCAATCCTACACACGCACAGCTGTTCCTTTGCCACAAGGCACATATAGGCACCTCTGGAGAAAAACAATGCAGCTGGAAATCCATACGCTGGAAGAAACATGGGGTATTAAACTAATTTAAAAGGTACTGAAAAAGTCTGTGCTGTTGGCGGTCACAAGACAGATAAAATAACCTCCCAAATTTTGTTTTGAGCAACAGACAAAATGCCAACAAAGCCAAATGCATCTGTGCTTACGGTGACCGTCGTAAATAAAGACACACAGCCTCGAGCAGCCTGCCACTGCAGTACACCGCCACAACCACACATCTCTGACAGCACAAGTAATTATTCTCATGCATTAGTATAAACATGCTTCACACCCTTTATCGAATGGTGTTTCTGTCTTTAAAACCTCAAAAAAAAGTCACGATTGCCATGGATGTCTCAACTCCTAACAGCAGGAGACATTTCCTCACAATTTAAAACAGGCACAAACAGGAGTTGGCAGAATTGTTTTCTCCTCTAGATGATACCGCAGAAAATAGCATCAGCAGAACATAAACCAGAGATCGATAACGGCTTTCGGATGTGATTAGAAGCAGCCACACATATTTAAACAGTCATGATGAAAACCATCGCTTTTTCTATCGAGTTCTGTACACTTCTCTCCCTCGATCTCTCAGGGCAAGGAACGTAACTTCACGAAGAAGTTGAAAGAAATGACTGGAAGATGTATTCCAAGCGTACAAATTCATTTAGTGGCAAGTACGTGCCAAAGAAAATCTGATGTAATCCATTACAGATGTGAGAGGAAACCACTCGGCCAACCATAACAGAACAATAAGCCAGTTTCTACTGGGCATAAGTCAGTTCTGCAGTTCCGAGATGTTCCTCCCTTTCAGTACATTCTGTTAAAGTGCTGACATACACTTTTACACAAACTCAGTATTGATAAGGACGTACCAGATACTCTTCTAACATGGAGCTATTCTACTTTTGTAACTCATCATCTAAGAATTGCGCTATCGGTTCAGACAGCTTAATTATTTGCATTTTCTGCATAATTTGCAGATAAAACCTCCCTTTAGTTACAGGATGTCATTTTCCTTTCTGCCCAGGACGTAGAATTTGTTAAAACTGACAGGAGGAGTAGTCAGTCACATACCTATAAGGAAGGAACCCTTGCAATCATCATAATAAAATGAACAGACCAACAACAGGCTTCTGAGAAAAACACAAGACAGCACAATTCTGCAGGCACTGAGTAACAAAACCTTGCCTCTCGAGGTCACACGCAGAGATCTGCTGAACAGTGCAACACTATCCAGACCTTGTTCTCTCTGCTCCGCATTCCTTAACCAAGACAAGATAAAGCGTCATAAAAGACAACATTGTCGGGCCTAACACAAAACAGATAAATAACAAGTTAATGGCTTTGATATTGAAAACCTCGGAAAAATCTGGTTTACTCGTGTTAAGATTTGTACTCCACCAGTGCAGATGCTGTCCAAGATGCCTTATTTCAGATCAGCACATGGCACTCGGGCACGAATGGAAGAAGAGATGAGCTTCAAGCTCTGTTACCTCCTAAAACAAAAAACAGTACAAACAGTGCTTGCACCTTATTATTTTTGTGTTGTGCTACAGGAGCACGGAAAACCAATGCAACCATTTGGGTGTCGCAGGCAGGTAACACTCAAGTGAAAAATCCAAATTTAGCAGTGTATTAGTTTCTTTGCACTACTTACAAGCACACAGAATTCTAATTCAAGCACTGTATTTAAGGTGGTGAAAATCATAATTTTGTTTCCAGATTGAAGAATTAAAAATAAGGATAATAAAAAATTAGCCTGTATATATGCAAGTCACCGGCAGGGGGACAGGTAAGAAGAAAATAAGAAAAAACAAGAACAGAATTTAACTGCTTAGAAGGCTCAGGGGGAACTAATATTTTGCACCACACTAGCCATTCCTTTCCCTTTTTCCCCAATATGAGCCCTTGGTTTAGGCACCCTTACACTGCTGATTCTTGCCGTTGGGACTAACAGCAGCAGCTTTGAAACTGTTGAACAGGGTTTTCACTGTTAAGTGTAATTTCCAGTCTTTTCCTGGAGGTGCTAGATTTTGCTCAGGGCAGTTAGTGCAGTGTAGTATAAACGCAGTTCTACAAGCGGCATTTAAGCACATTTTGGAATGAAGAAATCATGCCATTTAAAGTTTGCAACTTCTGTTCCTAAAACGTTGACCTGCCTGCATTCCAGAGGCTTTCTAGCTACAAGTATATTTTGCTTCTTGCCCAATTTTCGTATTTTCACCTCATTATCTTTATGATTTTGTATGAACAGTATAAAAATGCTTTTTTATTGTGCAAAACAAGAAGTCCCCATGACAACAAGAACTGATTTGTTTGGTTTTTTTACTGTAGCTGATAGCAATGAACTAGATGACACAGTGTTGTTCCATCTTTAGGTGGAGCCAGAATCTCCCCTGCCAGTAATTTTGGTGGTGTTGAGCTTCCACTCTGTTGTTGCAACTTCCACAATCGATTTAAGCCAGCATTACACAACTCCCACAAAACTCAAAAACTCCCCTCAAAAAAACCCAACAAACTAAGAGCAAATCAGTCCTTCCTCCTTACTACTGCTGTTTGCAACTTCCTTCACCTGACCTGCTGCCTCACACCCTTTTAAATGGACTAAGAAACTGCGATGGTATCGGAGTAGCAAGTGCCAGGTGATTCGGTATTATTTCAAGTTACTCCCTCTGAGGGGTTACTAACACAATACTAGCACAATACTAGCACAATACTAGCACAATACTAGCACAATACAGTTCAGCTTTAGAAGTCTAACCATTCTCTGTTCTCAATGAATAAAATTCAAGTTCTATGGTCAGTTTAAAGTGACCACAAGTACAAATACAGCAGAACAGCTTCTAAACACAAAGTGAAGCAATAAACGTTTACAATGACAGATTTATATATATTTTCTTATAACATACTGTAAAGTAACTTTGGAAAGATTTTATCTGGACAGCTTTGTCTCCAACAGCACACTCAGTACAAAACCCTGTGAAAGATTATCCCAGGTGAAGACATTTAAAGAGAACATGAACAGAAATAGTGCTACAGCAAGCTGCAAATTCCACTAGCTAAGAGTATGTGATAACACTTAACTTGCCAAGTGCCGGTTCCTAAATGCTGAAAAAATCTAGATTGATAAAATTATTTATTTAAATAAATGCCCTCTTCTCCAAGCTGCAGCAGTAAGAAATAAATTAGTGTAGGTTCATGGAAGCGATGCTGACAGGCAAAAGACATCACAGTTCCTTCTCCTTGTCCTTCCCTGGCCCACTTTTCCCAAACACCTTAAAGTGTTTTGAAATATCTTATTGGAAGCCTTTTGAAACAGTAAGTATCAGCAAATCTAGAAAATGGTAATCACTGCCCCTACCAGAAAAGGTGGTTAACTTTTCCAGGCTGAGCTACCAACTATTAAAATAGTAAACATGTAACCCTTTAATACATTGATCAACTGTTTAATGAAACCTTCCCAGGCAGAGCTTCTGAAAAGAAATAATGAAAAAATGTTTAGACATTTTACCAAAAATAATTTTTATTAGTATCTAGCCCATCAACCACCAACCAGGTGGGTTTTTTTTTAATATCAGAAAGCTAACGGAAGACAGTCCTGTTAAATTGCTTAATTCAATTTTTCCAACGATTGCTGCAGCAGAAGTCACCTTCTTTTAATAAAGTGTATGTTCTCAAAAGAAGAGAAGTAGAGTTCGTTATCCTTATTTCAAACAATGGTAATGAGCTTTTCAATGGATACCTCCAGGGATAAACAGCTGTATAGCCTAACCACTCTAATTCCAACAACATTAAATTCAGACTAAAATCCTTAAGTTTAGGTTAATCAGCACCAGACCCTCCTCCATCTTATTTGTTCTACAAAGGCCAGCAAAGAATTGGAAAATCTGACATTTTGATCATCTTGGGCCATTTTCCATGGATAACTCTTCCTAATCTGACCAAGTACTTGGGGTGTAATTTTGTGGCAGAGCTTCTGCCAACCCTCCTGTATAAAAAGCTGAGCTCATCAATCAAGTCTGATGGCCAGGTGAGAAAGCCAGCTTTTTCCCCTACTAACTAGTTCCCCAAATATCTTGGCAATTCTCAAGAGGTTCAGCTACAGAAACCAAAGAACACAGCTCAAGCCTGGGGTTGGAGGAAAGGGGATGAGCCAAACTGAAGATGTGCAGCAAGGAGCTTTCGGTGTTCAGGGTCCCAAAGAATTCCTTCTTCCCCCCACAGCAAGGAAAACATATGGTTAAGTACCAAAAGGTGTTACAAACAAACAAAACCCAAGACTCTTCTCTATAGCTCACATCCATCTGGTCAATAATTAAACACACAAAACCACCTTACCCTCCTTGTGTTTTCCACAACTTTTTGATCTGGCTTTCCGTAATTTGGTGGGTTGGCATACGGGTCATAGCCCAGTTTTGCTAGCATGGGTGCAATCACGGGCATATCTTGGAGAACGTCAGCAGGTATCTTCCCAACCCACTTCGACAGTGCTTCCACGTTGACTGGCTTGATTACTTGGTCAGTAGATCTTTCAACCCTGCAGAGGGGGAAAGAAACGTTGCATTTACCATTCCAACCACTACTTGCTTCTTCACACAAATTACCACTTTTAGCTCGTTCCATTTGTTTTTCTCCCCCCTTCCTCTTCTATCCCTCTCAGAATTTCATGTTTCTACAGAGCTGATGGGAAGTGAGGTTTTACTGCTTCAGGAGGCTAAAATGGGAAGAACTAACACAACATTCACACACACTTTCTGGTTTAGGCTTTCACTCAGAATGTACTGAAGCAAGTTCTTTACATAAAGACAGCAGTGAAAGCCAAAGACCTCTTAAGTGAAAAGCATGCACACACCTACATAGAAAGCTGGTTTGCCACTAGCATATTCCCACATTTTCTCTTTCGTTGTTTTAAATGCTCTTGAAAGTTGCATTCTAAATTAAAATCCATGTACCATTTACTCCACCCCATACTGTGACTAAATTCTTTTTTTTTTTTTTAATTAAAAGACACCTACGGAAATGACAGAGAGCTTTAGACCACAATCATATCTTTCACGACCATTCATCTTACTGATTGGTCATTACAGAATTCTTCACGGCAAGTGCATAATCATAGCAGTGTCTGGCGTACTGTATTCAGAAAACAGTTGATTTGTTGCTCATTTAATCAACAGTCCTAAGGTAATTTTCATTTTTGCACCCTAGTTTTGTTGTGTGAAAGAAGGGAAGAAATCTGGCATCGCTTTGTTTTTCCCCATTCCTTGCTTCTTTTAGATTAGAAGACATAGAACTTCTTTAATGTGCTTATTTCTGAAATAGGCCAGCAGGACTCCAACAAGCTGAGCAATTTAAAACTTTCTGAGTTTTTACTGCAAGCAGTTGAAAACTTTTTTTCTGGACTCAGAAACAGCACACACCCTCAGCAGCTCCTGCTGGCTGGCTACACCTGCCTCAAACCCGATGCTGAACATACAGCTGTCACATCCACTTGCAGCTGTCACCCCTCCCAGGCCTTATTTACATCATAAAGAATACAAAGTTGTAATACACCAAAGCAACAGTACAAAGTATAACGCCAGCACTTCGTGTACACAAGGTAAAGAATGAGAACACCGAGACTCAAATTCTCAAGCAGCTAGTTCTTCAGTTATACGGCAGGCAGAATATGAGAAAACATCTTCTGAGAAAAATAAATGGAAATTTCCTGAAATACTCCTGATAGCTTCTGAGTCCAGAAGTCTGGATCAAACTCACATTGCTCTTAAGACTGACATCAGTCAACTTATACAAGGAACAAGTGTGATTGCAGTTATCTAATTAACCTCATGAGCCCAAGAAAAGGCTGAAAAACGGTTGCACAGCAGACAAACATGAAATCAGCAGCAGGAGCCATCCCATCCACCTGCACGCTGGGCTCTGCAATGAAAGCCTGAAACTACAAACTCAGCCTGCACATCTGCCCATCATTAATCTTACACCGGTCTTCACCTTGTTACTCTTTGTTTTGTCATCATAGCTAAAATTCTTCCAGGACAGAGGAAGGAAGTCAGTCACACAATGCTGGAAGCTCAGTAACTTAACCCAAAAAGAACAAAGCAGATTGGGAAATGGTCACCCATGGGGAAACTCTCTTGGCGAGCAGAGCCTTCACAGATCGCTGCAAAAGTGTTTAAAGGAAGCTGACGAGTGAGCATCTGAGAAAAAAAATGTAAGACAGCCCCCAGATTTTCAGTCTTTCTCTCTTTTTTCAACCATTTGCAGGAAGCTCAAAGGCAAGAACTCGGAATGAGATTCTGGGACCAGAATCAAACCAAATTTGAGCTTTCCTGAAGGCTGTTGGCCTGAGCTCCCAAGTTTGTATAGCAAACTAAGAAGCCTGGGCATTGCCTTTTTGATCCTTCCAACTAGAAAATTAGCATCTGCCTTCACATCAAATTAGCAAGACAACTGCCGTCAAGAGTCGAGTTTTCAAAGTTCTTAGTGGCAAAGCACTACACTGGTCAGGAGGATGTAGAACCGTGCTGGCTGGACCCTCATGAAAAAATCTATCACTAGATGTTTGAAAAATCTATTTACAGTTCTTTTCTGGCCTTTCGGTTAACATGGAAAGAAAAGTAAACCACAATCCATAGGAAAGATTCTTCAGACCAAAGAACATGTGAGGAGTACAGGGGAAGACGGACTGGGGACAGGAGGAAAGAAGCACCCGAACACCCAACAGAGCAAACCAAGGAAACACAGCAAGTCTTGGCAAACGTGTTCCCGGACGCAGATGGCAAACATCGCCTGGCAAGCGCTTCCAGGCTCCACTGCAAAACCACAGGCACAGTCAGCTTTGAAAGCAGCTGGTAGCATGGAACACAGGACTAACCCCAAACACTCCTACATCTGTACTAGAATCAAATGAAAGGTATGTATTAAAAATAGTATATTCTGGAGCAATTTTGCCTAGACAGCTATTTTCATAATAAGCCTAATAAAAATCGCTATAAAAGGGTTGACGTTTCTTTGCATCAGTGGTCACCACAGCTGTTTTCAGTTAGGAGGCAATGCCAGAGCTATATTAACAATACTAGTTATAGCATGTAGTCCAGCCATAATACATTCCTTGAACAGCCACGTTGGCAATTACTTCAAACCACAGAAGGTTTCCTGCTACTACAAAATGCTGCGGTGCACATCCTTAAAACTCTTGCAGTGTTTCTCCCTGCAGCTGGATAAAAAAAACAAAATAAGAGGCAAAAAGACTCCAGTGAATTGGGACAACAGTGAGGCTAGGGCTGCATGAGCAACAGAAAAAACAGGAATTACTCTTTTGCCTGGCATTTGCTTAGTAAGGCAGCCAACAGCTTCCTCAAACGAAGCAGCCAGGGGAGCAAAGTCAGAATCTTAAATACAGACTGTCTAGTACCTACTATTGCTATTAACAGACTATTGCATAAGAGTTTCTGAGCCTGGAATAAGAGAAAAATGGAATCAGTTCGCTGCCTGAAGAATTCTACAAGCCGTTGGGTGGCTAGCTCATCTCTGGAAGAGGAACACCCTGCATGTACAATTCAACTCTGCATAAAACTGAAAATAAAGCCCCTTACACTGACCTAGAGCCTCATTCATCTGAGGCAGATTTAATTTGACACAGTTAATTTTGTTTTCAGATGAGTCAAATATATATTCTTAAACATCTGCTTTCTGTTACTGGGTAATAACATCATTATAAATATCTGTTAGCCATCCCACAATCTCTTCCTCGAAGTGTTTTTAAATACTTCAAGACAATAAACTCTGGTCAGATTTCTTTTCAAAATCCCTCCAACAGTTAAAAACACATCCAGGCATCTTACACTGGACCTGACCCTAGCAGGCATCATGCCTCTGAAGTGCTGAGCCTGTCTGAAAGATCCGTAAATCTTGAGTGGAAAATGATTGAGACAGGGTCCTCTACACACCGACTTAAGTCTTTAGACATTATCACAGCCTTTGCAGATTATAGCAGTAGTTTGTTCTTTGACTTTAGAGGTTTTCTGCCCTACCTAATATCTTGCAGACAAATGGAGAAATAATTCTATCTGCTCTTCATATTCTCTCTACTATGCAACAGAAGCTGGGCCTATGTGTCAGTAGTTTTAAATGCACATTACATTTCATTACAGATTACTTGGTACTTGTGATCTTCTCCTCCTCCTGCCAGTAAAAGCTGTAATATAATTTGAATGCTCTGATTTTAATATACTGTTATGAAACAGCCTGAAGCACTTGGTACCAGGCATGTGGTAAATTAAAGCTCAGTGAGAAGAGAGAGTTGCAGCAGACAGCAGCATTTGGAATTTCCTTAGATTATCTCTGAAGCGATCTTCAGCACCAGCCTTTGGAAAGTCAGGTGGGAGAAGAGCTACTCATCGAGACACGGAGCGTTGCTGCTTGACCGTTGTTTCAGCTGAAAGACGACAATATTCACACTGTGAAGAGCACAGTAAGCCCAAGGGGAAATTTTAAGTCATAAGAGAACAACGTTGGTTAAAACCTAACCCAGAACATCACAGCCACACACGCCCAAGGCTGTAAAGAATTTTGCTACAGCTGAGAACACACCAAACACAACTCGAGAGGGGAACCGAGTCGAACACAAGATGTATTTTGCTCTGCCGTCAAAATCTGATAACCCAGGGCATACTGTCAAGTTCTCAGCAAACTACCCAGCAAGCATCTTCTCCGAATAATTTTTCTGGGCATTTACCCCCTGTTCTGAGTCAGGACCCTCTGGACAGGCAGCTTTTCCCGACCACAGAGCTCTGCTGCACACAAGAGGGCAGCGAGGGGCTGGGGATGCCAAAAGAAGGAGGTTTTAACTGCCTCAAGGAAATCCCACTGGGGAATCTCAAGGTCGTGTCCACCCCATGTCGTCCCTGCCCCGTCCCCCTCCCGCACAATTTCAATTAGCATCACATAAATACACAAAGCAGACATCTAAGACAATTTTGCATTCACTGTTGTTGTTTTTCTGCAGCCCCCAGAAGACTGAGTCATTGAAATAATCAAAATACGAAGTCTCTTGCAAGTGAAAAACAAATCTCAGCACCTAATTCAAGGGTATTTGATTAGATGAAAAAAATACCACAGACCTAACGCTTCATAGCCCATTCTTTCTCTGCTCCTGCCAGAGCTTTCTGAAATAAATGATTACTTCCCCATATCATCTCGTGAGAGATAATAAAAGCATAAAGAATTCCATTAATAGACTGAACTGAGGGTCACAAGAACACTTTCATACTCCTTCATCTTAAATTTGAAAGTTTGATTAAAAAAATAAAGATGAAACCCATTTTACCTTCAACAATCCATTTTCTTAACTTTTAGAGACATGAACAAGTATTCTCAATTCCTCACATCCCATCGCACCAGATTTAGCAAGAAATATTACTTGAAACTGTACAAACTGTATGAACTGCATGAATTTTAGACTATAGAGGTCCATTAATTTTTAAAAATGCTGATCTGAAAGCTGTAATATTTTACCAGAAAGGGCATTATGCACAGCTATTTCTACAGGGCACTTAACAGAACTTGGCAACTGCCTATTTTCGTCAGCAGAAGCAAGTTTACTTCCTCCTCAGTTGCCACTGAAAGGAACACGATACAGGTAACTCGAGAGGTGCAGATCCAGCTTGTGGAGATGTACAACTGGACACTGCTTCAGGTTAACGTTATCAGAAGGCTTCAAGCTGCTAACGAACAACAGCGCTAACGAACAGTACCATAGAAAAAAAGGGCTGCGATGTCGTCTTGATAACTCTGTGAACATAGTGGTGGTGGTTGTAAAAACAGCAGGAACAGTGATGTGAAACCTCCAGATAGAGAATGCGTAATCATTACCTGAATTTTAATGTTTTGGTAGCCGCTGCCTAATAAATTCTGTGATTTGCTTCCAATCGTACACCGCTACAACATATCAGAAAACCCACGCAGTCACTTCCCTAGGCATCAAATAAACAAAATCTCCCCATTTTTAATTTATCAGAACTGTAGGTTTTTTAAAAAAATGGAATCCCTCTGTCCAGTTTGCCATGTCTCTACCCAGCCCAGGCTGCTTGCTGTGCACTCGGCCAGTGCTGAATATTGAAGAAACAGAAGCAAAGGAATTTGACTGGGAGTGCCTTGCTGCTGGAACAGGGCTTTTTAATCAATATATTAGAAGCTTAAACAAGACAACCTGGTAGATGTATCTGCCATTGCAAAAATAGGCAGAGCAGTTCAAACACACACCCCTTTCCCCCTCAATATAAAGACAAACCAGCTTCTGCATTTTGGTTGTTCAGCTGCAAATAGCGGCAAAGAAATCAAAGCAGTTTGGAGAAGCAATTTTTCCCCCCTCCCCATACCTGTCTAGGTTTTCTAAGCAGAGCTGGATTTTGGTTTCTCAAAGCAGCTAAATCAGGTGCACAGATGGCACAACAGGATACTGAGGGATTTGCTTACATGAAGGTTAATTTTATTCAAAATGCCTGTCTTTTTAGGAGCACATGCCAACAGAAACGCATGCCAATTCTGCTTTCTATTTTGTTGGAACAGTTTCTCAAGTTTCCTGGAAAAGTATGTTCTTGGCAAATATAACCTGAAGGCCATTCTTGCATTGACAACGATACTTAAGTTTTTGAAATCAAGTGGGTGATCTTCCTAGGATGAGTAACACTAGCCTAGATAAAACAGTCCAGCTTTATTTCAGGGCAGAGAGAAAAACAAAGCTCTATTGGAAGTAAGGCTGATACTAGATATCCAAATTCAAGAAAAAATGATCATTAATTAAAGTTCATTCACATGCCCCATACACATGTTAGCGGAACAATTGTTTAGTGGGAGCAGCCCGAGATTACAATTTGTTAGTTAACAATTTAACAAATAGTGACCATTTCCCAGATAATATGCCTCATAAATCAGCGTCCCAAGACATCTTTAGCTACTTAACAACTGAAACCAAGTTGTGACTGGTCTTTTTTTTCTACAAAATGTACTGGTTAACCTCTTACAACAACACAAGGTAAAGGAGAAACGTTCATACTCACTTTGAAAGAGAAACACCCCCTGCTTTTCCAATCATTTCTTCATGGTGCAGCACTGCCTGGTTCCACGGGATGCGAAGAAACTTTAAGAGAGTTCTCATCCATCTTTCAGGATGCAATATGAGTTGCTCGTAATGTACCAGCATACACCTTTCAAAACCAACCTCCATACACTGGTTGTACATCGTTTCTATAGCACGATTCCACTTGGTCAAGCAGTCCCTGTAGCTGTTGAGGTCAAATCCAGCTATTGTGACTTTTCTAGATATCATGGAATGCACAGAGGCACGGCCATCCCGTACCATTAGAAGAAATTTGGCATTGGGGAAAATTCTAGCAAGGTAAGTTAAAGATTTTAAGGCAAAAGGATCTTTGTTACACAAATATGGAGCAGGCTCCCCATGTTTCACAATGATTTCCAATAAAAATGCTTGCATGGCTGAGTCCAGAACCTCATCTGTGACTCCAGCTTCGTCCAGTCGGATCTTCTCTTTGCTTGAGCGAGCCCACATCTGCTTCACCGCCAGAATCCGCGGGATCACTCTCGTTTCTTCTCCACAACGAATATCTGGGTGGGCGTCAAGCATGGCACGCATTAGGGTAGTGCCACTTCGAGGAACTCCTCCAATAAATATTAAAGGCATGTCTTTGTTGTAAGCAAAGGTTTTGTTTGCATTTACACTGGCAGCAGTTCTTACTGTGCTTCTCACGCCTTCCATCCTCACGGGCTGGCTGCGTTCTTCGATTCGATGGTGACACTCCATCGCGTGTTGGCCCAGATAAAACACAGTCACCGAACTGATCACCAGACACGCCAATAGCAAGTTCTGTTTGAGTTTTCCAACCATTTTGGGAAAGGCTGCCAGTTCAAAATACGGACGTCGTCTATTTGAAATTATCTTCTAGTTCACGTGCCATGGGAATCCTAATCCAAAGTAAATTAAGGTCTGGCGAGGGGGGAAAAAAATAAAAAATTTAGAACTACTATGATAAATCAACAACAGAAAAACCCTGACAGCATTCAATGAAACCAACAGCTCCTGGTGTTGCGTCAAGACCAATAAATTCAAACATGATCATGTCACAATAAAAAGCTTTTTTGTTAAACCGTAGAAGCAATACAAAACCTATGAAGAAAATGCAATGAAGAAAAATAGTTTACAGCAAGCTAGGGAAACTTCAATTTTTATTTCAAAGGAAGCCTTGATTAAAGAAGCATATAGTAATTAAAAAACACAAACACAATCCAGTTGTTGACTGATTAAAGTTGACTAAGATCAAAACTAAGATCGGTCTTGATTTAAAAGAAAAAATTCAACCTGTGCTGACTTGAAAATTTTTATGAATCCCAGTATCTAAATAATACAAAACAGGTTATACAACAGAAAACTAATGATTTCATCCTAACTTCCTTTTTTTTTTTCACCTAAAATATGGCCCTTAGAGATATTTCTCCCCCATAAAACCCGCCTAAACCAAACACGATTTTAATTTATTATTCCATTAAGACACAAAACCCCCACCAACTCCTCATCTTATACAGTATTATAACTTCAGAGAAATGTTAGCCAAAGTACTGAAAAATTGCAAAAAATAAGAAGAAAGAAAAACAGATCCTGTTCTCAATCAGCACACCGGGGCGGGAAGAAAAAAAATACTTAAAGCCTTGCATCATTTTAAGTCATGTAATAAAGCATTGCCAGAATGAAGCAGATACTCCAACACTGGCTTAGATAAATTGCTGCTCTGCTGGCCAGATGTCTCGATCTGCTCATGCCAGCCTGTACACTGTATCTTCATTTTTTTCCGTTCACAACAGTTAAAATAGAGACCGTTGTTCTACCTGTACTCTGTGGCTCAGCAGCTTTGGGTTTTCAGATAAGGTAGGTGGAAAACTGACTCTTAATTCACTTCTTGTTATACACAATGGCCAAGGAGCTCTCCCACACTCTCCTGCCAGAACACCACTCTCGTAATCAATTCATCCTCTGGAACAAGTTTCATTCTACTTACATGCCTCAGCTTGCTGAAGAGCTGGCTTTAACTGTACCTTAAATATCCGGACATTAAAAGAAACAAAGTCCCAGAAAGTGAAGTGGAGGTCAGCTGGACAGTGCTCAAAAAGAAAGAAAAACAACCAACCACACAGTTGATACTTCCATAGCACCAAAAAACCCCAGAAAGCCTCTCTCCTGAACAGACAGAGCATGCAAACCTAACTTTTAATCAAGGAAGGGGAAACTGTTCTGCTTAAAACTAGCCAGTAGTATGTAGACTCTCTTCAAACGCTTTAGACACAGTGAAAATTTAGTTAAAAGTTAGTACTCATTCACCAGAAGAGTTAACACAACAAAACCAGTATTTTGCCTCAGAGTACACAAGACCTACAAATATTTACACTTCGTACAATCCCTAACGTTACTCGGTCTGAGTAAATTCCATAAAACTCATTTCCTAATGGAAAAATGCCACAAAAAATCTCCCAAACAAAAAAACTACTCCTTGAAGAACATTCCCCAAATGCAACAGTTACGTAGCTGATCACTAGAGAAAAAAAACACAAGAAGACCCAGCGCATCAGTTGCTTTACTCGGATCATTTATGTTGGAATATCACTTTAAGAACAAAGCAAAACGAAAAGCAGCACCAGCTCTCAGCACCAAGCCGAAGAACAAGCAGTATCAGAGAAAAGCCTGTTGACTGAAGGCCGAAATCCCCAATTCACAGGTTGGGTAAAGCAGCCGCCTGACTCATTCTCAGCACAATTCCAGCTGTGAACGCAAGTAAGCGTTGCAGTCTGTGAGGAGCTTTTCTGAAATTGCTCTAAGTATTGATCCCTCCCCTACAAAACCAAAAAAACCCATGCATGTGACAGAAAACTCCACACCAATCCACCACAAATATTTCCATTTGACGCAGTAACTTTTTTTTGTAAATCCAAAGATGCCACAGGCTGCAAGACCATTAAGTAGCATTAAGCTCCCCCACAACCTTCTATACTGCTTGTTCTTTTTTTCCTGGAGAAAATACCTGCAGCGTGCACCCGCCATGAACTGTAGCACCACCCCGGCTTTGGAAGTCAGGAAACCAACAGAGGAGCAGTCAGAAACCAGGACCTCTCAGCAAACCCATTATTTCAGAAGCCAGCAAACTCCCTTCTGTGCTTGACGTTCCACACAAGGCTCTTTGGGACAAGGATGACACAGAGCAGTTACTGCCCTTCTAGCAACTCCCAAACAAACTCCACCTTTTCCCCTCCTCTACAAGAGTAAGCGCTCTGCATCGCATCTGTCCGTCTGCAGGATTATGACGGGTCATTAATGTTTTCTGCTGCAACAGTAACTACACTGACAGCATTTAAAAAAAAAAAATCACAGCAAGGCAGTCGGCTATCCCTTGTCGGGATTTGAGTAGAGCTTTAATTTTTTAAAGCTCTTGGTGGTGTTTTTACCTGCCGCAACCCGACCAAGAGCAAAGCACTGCTCTGCCTAAAGGCACAGGCAACTCTTAATAAAAATACCCCCCCAAAAACCTAAACAATGCCTAACACGCCCTCAGATTAAATGCGCTCCCCTCACACGCACAACACAGTCCTCAGCTGAGAAAGCTGAAGATGACTACAATGGCAGAGGAAGCCTTTAGCAGCAATAGTTTTTCAAACAAGAGACTAAGCCAAATTCCTAGAAAAAAATAAGTGTAACTCAAAAAAAAGACAGAGTTAGGATCTACAAGTTTCTGTACAAGAAAAGCACAGCTGAGCAGAAGCGACTGCAACTGAATTTTTCCTCCCGGAAAAGTCAGGCCTGTGAGTCAGCCACAAGATGATGTTAGCAAAAATGACGGCTTTGTTTCCTCCTTCTGCACACACTAATTCCCTCTCCCTCCTTCCCCCCTGCGACATGCAGCAGGTCAAGACCTTTTTGGTCAAGTTCATCCAAAAAACGTTGAAGATTTTTAGCTCAGTCAAGAGGCGAGTCATTCATTTGTACTTCATGTTAGAACAGTCTGGGGTTTGTTGTTGTTGAAAGCATTCCCTGCCAGAGGAATAAAGACAATCCATTACCACCCAGCAACAAGCAATCCTCGTAAGCTCTAGAGCTCAGGCTTTCCCTTTGGAGGCTGGAAACAGCGATGACCACCTTCCTTCTCATGTTAACCAGGCAGCTTTTCCCAAGGCTAAGTTGACAAGACAGCAACACTGGGATTATCCATCTCAAGAACACAAACAAACAAAAAAATCCCCCCAAAATAAAAAACCCCCACCACATATATATAAAGTATTTTCCAGTGATTAGCTTGCCCTCTGCTTCCATCTCTTGAACTTCTGGCTCAGATTCTGATAATTGGATCTCTGTCCAGGAAGAGCAAGTACCCTGGTACCGCTTAGGTTTTTGTGGAGTATAAGTTGATCCTACGTCTGCCCAAGCGCTCATCCTGGTGTTCGACCCCAACGCTTCTGGGGAACTTTGCTGGGAGGAAAGGTCACGCTCAGCTCCGTGTCAACTGGCCATCGGACTTGCCAGGCGTCCTTCTCAGCACACGGTGCCCTCCCACCTGTGCTGGAAAGCAGGAGGGAGATAGAGGGGAGGGCAAGAGTGCCCGAGTTCATGCGACTGGAAAGCTGAACTTCCCCTCACACTCTTTTTAGGCTTTACCCTCATGTCCCCCTACCACATCGACGCAGATTTCATTTTCTTCCCCAGGAATTAGGACACAGCCTACGAGGTCTACTCAGTCCCTTCATCTCTGGGGCTCTAACACTCCCTGGAAGGCTTTATGCTGTAGACTCTAGAAACAGAAGTTTATCACAGTTCAGAGATGCTTTCAGAGTCTGACTACTGAGCCCAAAGGCTGCAGGATGAAAAGACAAAGGAAATTCATTATACACATAGCTAAGTTGAATGGAAAAAAATCCTGAAGTGTTGTTAGCCATTGTCACTCTCTTCTCTGCTCTCGACTATAGAGAGACAGAAATTAAAACACTGCTAGGACTTAGAGAGGGAAATGTTAACCACATGAGTATCTTCTTTGCACCTTCATTTTTCCATAAAAATAAATACTGCAAAGGCAGCAGATATTGAGGATTCTCAAGAATCATCTTCAAAACAATACGCATTTAGAAATCTGGAGACAATAGATTTCTTAGAGGATGTTCTGCATGGAGCTCATAATATAGTCCAAATAAGAAGCCCTTACACATAACGGTATCTTCCAGCATTGCTAAATGAAAGTTTAAGAAAAGAATTCCATAAAACATTTCCTTCAGTGAACTGGTTTGTTCGTGTTTGTCCACCACAAAGAAGATTGCATAGGAAAGCCAACAGTTACATGATAATGGTATAGCACAACACCAAGGAACACGACTGAAATATTCACAGTAAAACCACGTCAAGAAGCTCTCCAAACCGTCGTAGGCTCATTTAGAAGATTGTTCCAAAAATCATTTAAGTATTTAGGAAGCATTTCTATGCCTTCAAAGCAGTGTTTGCACAATCACCTTAATGATTTCCCCAAAGTCCAGATACCATATATACTGCTACCAGTCACACCACAGAATCTGAGGGAGGAATGTCAAAGCAACACAGGCAACCAAACCCCAAGCAAAATACACAGCAAAGGCTGAAATAAAAATCAAGAAGCCTTGAGTACCAAGTCCAGCTCTAGATTTTTAAGTCATTGTGGCCCTCGGACCCTGAGGCTGTTTTTCTCTGGATTTCTGCTCCCACTAGTTATATGGTTTAAAAAAAAAAAGTATGATAAAACACAATGAGCAATTTTTATTTACCTCCACAAAGAAACAGGAGTAAGTTACCTAGCAGAAAGCATCCGGGATGAAAGCCAGCTCAACCTAAAGAAGCACGTCTTCACGCAGAGCGGTTTGACAAGTACAACGATAGGATGAAGCTGCACAAAATTAGTACAAGGGAACACAGGCGTGTGAAC